TTTCTTAATCAGTAGTCAACTTTATTCACTAATTGATTGTGTGGCAATTAGTTCACATCGGTAACTTATCCTGTTAGATATCTTCATGGGTTACGTCAAACAATAGTGTCTTAGTTCAGTTATCAGAAAAACAACTTATTACCACGGGTACTCTGATGGCACGTTTGTTGTTTTGAAATGATATGAAATATGCAAATCAGTTATTCGACAAGCTCAACGAGGTTTACCCAATATCAGATTTATGAATGAAAACGATATTACAAAAGCCATCCATTTAAAAGATGCTTGAACCGTATGATACCTCAACAACAACATTTTTTATCCTGCCAGTTATAAGGAAAAGCTTAGTAAAAATACTTTACAGACAAGCGAGAGAAATGACTAAGGATTACGATTACTATGACGTATGGAATAAAACAGGCCAGTAGAACTAAGCTACCAATTGTTGAAGTGAATAAGGTTCTCATTCACCTTGGAGAGGCAATATCCGAGGAAATAAACATCAGAACCAAAGCAGTCCTTTTTAGAAGCCAAACTTGTATCAGTATATAAAACGCCATGCTTAGTAAAGGAGTCCAAAATAGATAAATATACTTCTCATTTTCTCTGGCAAGTATATTGGACGGAATGAGGAAAATGTGTCCATTTAGTTCTCTGGGTATATTGTGAAGAATTTGCGACCAAAATGAACCAAGATTGTAATCAGTGTAATTAATAGGCACCTCACAGACACAGGACATCAAGTTGTTATTTCTGATTCAACACATCTATTGCTATAATCGCTTTCAGTTGAATTTATGTATACAAAAGGTGTATGTGGTCAATCTCTGACTTCTATAATGACTGTAATTTGATGTTGTCTAGATTTGTTAACGGATACAAATGTAAAAATACCTTTAACTATGAATTTTACCTTTTGGCCAACTTTATAATTTCTTTCTTAAAAAGTTCACAAGCAGAATAATACAAAAATTTTCATCGATAAAATTCACTTCAGTTACTTCAATGAGTCTGTTTAATCACCTGTGATTTTGGATAAAGTAGCCTTAATTTTTCTTTCATATTCTCTGGTTTTACAAATATACTTGTAAGAACCAATTGAATCAAAGTTCAAACAAATTGTCTCCACTACTGTCAACTCCTTTTTTTAGAGATAATCACTGATATTGCTTATCGTCTAAGTTGTTTTATGAACCGGTCAAAGACAGTGTGGAACTTTTCTCTGCATACAATCAAGTTCATTAGTTTTACAATTATTCTGCATGTAATTATATCCTAGAAATCATTTCTGTTTCCATATTATAATCTGGAAATAGTAACTTAACCTTTAAACTAATTGTTTTATAGACGGGTTAAAAAAAAACATATGCTTGATTTCACTATCAGCAATCTTAACTTTGAATTCAGATGTCGAAGAATTCTTGTCTGATGAAGTAAATTTTCTAAACGACAAAAACTTCATTTCCTAATCTTCTACTCAACTATACTTCCGTTTCAAGTTTATAAGAATTTTTAAACAAAGCTTTTTCTTTTACATACTACACAGTTAAAGTAATCTCTTTACACGCCAAATTATTTTAACAGTCAATTTAGTCACTCAGTCAAATTACAGAAATTTTCTACTATTTTCTATCTCTTGAAGACTTGCTTGTTTCTCAAACAGACAACTCAATAACGACATACATCTTACACCTAACATACATTATTACACAGTACAGGAGATATATTTGAAACTTTTGAGAAAAAAATCATAGCTGAGAAATGTAAAGGCATACAAATGGCAAGTACTGATGACGTGGCTTATATCGCCTTGACCTGTCAGCCATAAATTTAACGGAAGAATTTAGTTATGCGTAATGGATATTCTTTGCTAGCTTATTTACTATTTTGATAGCGAATCCTAATCGCCATCTAACTGGATTCAGGTTATCTACTAACTTGAAGCCTATTTATCTACTATAATGAGCTGAAATATTGATTATTTAACAAAAGTTGTTAGTCTAAACAACGATGACATATTCCTATAACACTCACCAAAGTGGAATGTAATATTCGAAATGATATATAACCATCTGAATTCTTATCAACGAACTTTATAGCTTCAACAAGGTGAGTGTTTATTTCATATTTCTAAGGTCCTGGATGATATTGATTATTTTATCTCAGTGATCATCAAGCAATTTGAGACGAACTTTCAAAACAATGAACTGTTTCATTTCAGAAATAAATAGTTAGTAAAGTAATAGGTTGTATAGAATGGCAGTCAATTGGATCTCTACCTCAACTTCATCGACTTTGAAAAAGCCTTCGACACTGTCGACTGAGAAGTAATTTGGCAAATGCTTCAACACTATAGTTGTAGTGCCACAAAAATTAATCAACCTGATTCAACAACTATATGAAGACGCCACATGACAAGTGACCCACAATTGAAAGCTCAGTGACGCCATTGAAGTGAAGACAGGAAGGAGTAAGACAGGGTTGTCTACTATCACCCATAATCTTCCTGATTGTGGTCCACTGAACTAGATTGGATCATGCAAGAGATAACTGTGAGGAGCAAGAATATGGGCATACGCTGTTTGACCGATGAAAAAACCCTAGAAGATTTGGATTTCACCGATAATGATCATCTATGTTTAATATCTTGTCGCACGTACTCGAAGATCTACAGGCAAAATCCAACAAGTTAACAGAAGAGGCAAGGCACGAAGACGGGACTTCAAGTGAATGTAGAGAAGACAGAAGTGATGAAGATACCCTACCAACAACAGCATCAACAACAAGCACCGACCACCACCAGTCACGTGAGAAATCTAAAGAAAGTAGTCTTCATCACCTACCTAGGCAGGGCAGCATCATTTCAACTACAGGCGACACAGGCACAAACGAGGATGTCAAAACCACGATTGGAAAGACAAAAAGACATGCTTTCATTTATCATAAATCTGGGCACAAAGAACAAGATCCTGACTCTCAACACCAGTGTCAGTCAAGTCAGTTCTTCTATGTGATGGTTCAGAAACTTGACGTGTCACGAAGAGCATTTCCAATAAACTACACACATTCATCAACACCTACCGCCTACCCTCACTCCTTACTAACACTGAAGATCAGATGGATGACCAGAATCATAATTATACACAACAAGTAACTCACTGGGGCTGGCCTGACAAAGAACCAACCAAGAAGCTATCACCTAACAAATATGCAGAAGAAAGTGGAGATGGATTGTATTGAGCATACACTGCGAATGCTGATTGAGGACATCACACGACATGCCAGGCCATTCCATCGAGTTGAATTCAAATGGGAAACGACGAGTTGGATGTCCGAGGGTGACAGGGAAGGGATCGTGTGAGGAAGAAATGAAAGCTGAGAGGAATCGTGGAGTCAGGTTCAAAGGACTGCAGAGAAGAGAGTGGAATGGAGACGTGCTACTTAAGGTGTATGTTCCACTAGGAACCCAGGGGAAAAATAATTATAATAAAAGTAATAGGTTTGTTCATGTACACCTGCTTAAATTTTGGGCTGCCGAAAATTTTCAACGGAGTTTATTTCATCAAATTCAGCCTTTTTACCTTGTTTTAATCTTATATATGTCAAGTACTCTAGCATACCCTTAAAATGATTTCAGACTGTCACTTTTCAAGCTAACGGGAAGCCGAAATGAAATTGGCTCATTAATCCAAAGAAATGCAGTATATTACTATTCCTTATATAACTATGTCGATTTGCAAATTTTCGTACTGTCTAAATAAACTACAACCACTAAAACTACGCTCAATATTCTATTCAGTCATCAGTTCAAACCAGAAGCTAATGTAATACCAGGTGAGTTTCACATTGTGCATTTTAATAATTAACATTATTCAAATGAACAATTATTTTGCCAAGAGATATTGCATAGAGAATGAGTCTGTTAAATTATTATATGCTAAGATTTTCAGATTGTAGCACAATTCTTCTTTCAAATGAAGCTATTATTATTGTATTATTGTATTGTATGTATGTTTTACAGATGTTATACTTTCTGATTTTTACATCAAATTAAAAAACCATTCAGCAGGGAGTAAATAGGATGGTAAAATATGAGAAAGCATTCAAAGGGTAGAGTGATGATGGGTAGGGGCTAGCAGTGGAATCCAGGATGTGCATTTTATCCTATTTTGGACTCGTCAGCTGGATGTACCTGCCTCCCAGTGGGTGACGTTGTTCCCACAGGGTCCTAAATAGGATGAAATGCGCATATTGGATTCCACTGTTAGCCGTTATCCATCATAACTGTAAATAAAACACATGTAATATCGAGGCATCCGCACAGGGTCCCATATGCCAATAGAGACCAATAAACGATGGCATAATAAGAGCAATAATACTATTCAAAGGTTTTTAACTACAAGCTGCCATCTAACTCCATTTCTTTAGGCATTTATTAGGACTCAGCAATAGTGATTATGATATTAAGTTGACAGTTCCATTGAAGTACAAACCTTTTGATATAAAAAATAATAATAACTAGTGGTTATTGCCAATTTTTATCCTCAAAAAAGGATTTGAGTAGATCTTCCCCAGAAGTATATAGGTGTTTATCCAAAATTAATAAAAACTGAGGTTTTCAAAATATTGAAGTTTATGTTCAGTTGTATTTTTCTTTGCTACTTTTTGTCACCAACGTTCAAATATAAACCGGACTGATAATGCTAAACTAGTTCAGTCAATCCAAACAGCCTGTTTGGATTTGCAAAGATTTAAAAAACGCTAAATTATATTGGCAATCATGTTTTTAGTATTCGGTATGGAAGAAGTATTTCGTATCTACAGGTAACATATGATCGTGAAAGAATACTCATTATCTTGATATTTGTTAAAAAGCATGTTTAGGAGAGAAAAAACAATAATTAAGAATGCTTGTAAATACTCTGAAAAGCATCTAGAACTATCTTCTTACTAGGTGAATGTAACTAGCATATACTATGAACACAAAAATATCTACTTACTTGACATTTAATTATCAATTTATTATGCTGATAACCAAGTTTTCTACGTTCTTCATTGTTTGGAAGACTTTCAAGAAATCCTGCAAGTGAGAATGCTGCACTTGCTGCATTATATTCTTCCATTTTTTGTTTATTATAAAACATGTGCTGTGCATATGCAGCCATATCTAAGACAAATTGTCTTGGTGTCTTCCAACCATTCATTTGTAAATACTTTAATCCATCCGGTGAGATTGGACGAAAGTTGCACACAGTTACAGATGGAAACGGACTAGATGTATGCCGAAGTACACGTGGTGGATGTATTACATTATATTCTAAGTATTGTCTTGCTAAGAAAAACATACAAGCGAAGCATCCTAACACTAGAATACACACTAAACTTAACCACAAAAAGCGTAAGTAACGATTATGTGAACGAACTATACGTGGTAGTCCACGTATTGTAGTATTCTCACAGAAACGCTTTAATTCATCCCGTATAATTACAGAGATATGATCATGTGCTGTTGATGAGTTACGCCTATCAACTGTTAGACTTTTTGCGACATTACTATTCGTCTTTATATTATTCTGTATATCTTGATTGAAGAATAGACGACAGGGATTCACATAATTTCCAGTCGATGTCTCCTCTGTCAATCCACTGCATTTTCTAATCTCTTGTATTAAAATCCAACATAATGGGCAAAGTGGATGTGAATTGACTGTTTCAGGAATTTCTAAATTTTTGCTATCATTGTTAATAATGTTATCAGACATTGTTTCAGATTAAAATGACTATTTTATAAAAAATCCGTGTTAACGATAACTTAAAGCAGAATAATTTTATTCTGAAATACAATTTTTCTCATTGGTTCCCTGAAATAATCTTCTGATTGGCTATTAGATTACTTATACACTTTATTTTGTTTCACAAATCTCACACAAGAGCAGAGGTGTAGCTTTCATAAATTTTCATCTACAACTAACGATTTAAAAAATGCTATTGCTTGTAATTTCCGGCTGTTGATTGGAATGAGTTGGGAAGCAGGTATATCTGGCTGACAAGTCCCAGATCGGAAGAAACCCGCATCGTCGATTCCAGTAGTAGCCACTATTCATCATTTCTAAGAAACTGAAGTTACAGGCAACATTAAGGTACCCATCATGGACTGGCGTCAGATGAAGGAACAGTAGAAACCTGGGAGCACTCGACAGCTGTTTCGTCCTAGTACGGGACTCTTCAGCATTACGTTCTCATGACCCTACCAAGATTTAGGTATCCGCACAGAAGCCCTTATGTCAATGGAGACCAATCAGTTTGGTACAAACAACAACGAGAAATTACAAGCAATCACATCGAATCCTAGCTAACTTCAAAATACACTGCTGTATAGTGCTCACTAGAGATAAGCTTCTAGATGGATATGCCGGAGTTCTAACGAGCCATGAGCTGTGGGGTTAACTATTTGGAAGGGAAGCGTTTGCCAACTGAAGACCTTGAGTAATAGTCCTGCTGTATCACGAGTTGACAGAAGTTTGAAACTGTGAACAACTGAACTTCAACCAAGTGGCAGGATGTTTAATGCGTTCACCGTGAAACCTGAAGGTCCTGAGTTTGATTCATAGCAGGGTGGTGGGTGCGCACTGCTGAGTCAAACACTAAAAGGAGAAAACCGTCTAGTGCTGTTAGTTTTTCAGTGGTTCTCCAACTGACATCAGTCCATAATGAATACTACTTCAAAATAAAAACTCTACTAGTCGCACAAGAAAAGGGTGTAGTGACTCAGTAACCTAGCAGATAACACTCTGGTCTTTGAAGCGATCTATCCTCAGTTCCAGTTCTAGTAGGAATGACAACACTCACTCAGACGCAGGTATGTCCATCTTATGGTGTTGTGTTCTCTGGTCTGGATAGTTTAGTCGTGTGGCTTTCATTTTCATTTTAGACTACATCATCAGAGCAGACTCCTGGAGTTTGTTATTTGTAAAAGAAAAAAGAAAGAAACATTTATCCACGTTCACCACTTTCCTTTTATTAATTAATGGGTGTTGCATGACTTTAAGAAAATAAACACTTGGATGCAGGATGAAACTCCGTATACTTTGGCTTTCTTTTAGCCTTCATATTTGTCGTAACACTTTCCATAATCAGGTTAGATGACTTAGCATTTACTTTATAAAAAAAACTTGTAATGTCGAAAACTCCCCATTTTTTCATAAAACTTACAAGACGATACATGCATACATACAAAATACCGAAAACCAAACATCCTTCTGCTGAGCTACAAGCCTCATCTAATAACAGCAAATTTTCGTATTACATTATGAAGTTTTTTTAGATGATTCGTTTACTCTAAAGTCGTGTAAAGTTCTGTGAACCTTCGACAAGCCTTGATAAGTTTCTTCTTGAATTTTAAAATGTTTTAAACTCTCTGAGATATTTGCGGTTGACTAGACCGATCTTACTGACATTGAGTGATGATTAAAAGTTTAATCAAAACCTGAGTCATGAGATGAATCAAACGAGTGGCTTCTATGTTATTGGCCAGTCATTCTACTGACTGAGCTAGGAGACTTAGCTTCTGATGGAATCTCAACTTTATTCTGATATGAAAACTCTAAGATCATAACTTATAGTGATACTTTCGAAAAGTTCGACTTGTGGATATTTTGGATAACTAATACAAATTGTTTCTTTTGCTCCAGTTCCTGACCGATGCACAAGTGTTTACTCACCACTTTGGCATTATCAGTGTTTACAAAATAACGTAATCACAACTTCCAGCTGTCCTACCCAGATTTTTGTTTTGGTTAGTCATTAGTCTTTGCAAATCTTCAGAAGGAAAAAAAGATCTTTCCAGAAATGGAAGCTACTGTTTTGTCTTCTACAATGAAATGTTTTCGCCTTGTTTTCTTTGAAGTGCATTCAGACAACATTGTTCATAAATATAAGTGAAAAACTTGACCAATGTGATAAAATATAACTGCATATTAGATTCGTTTATTTGCTTTACAGCACGCTGTGATACAGTATAATTTACTTGATGACGTTTTGAACATAAATTATTGCTTATGATTATATCAATGTAATCACATATCTTTCGATATCTAATTTTTATTGTCCTATCACCAGACACCCTTTGTTTTTAGTGGTAGTAAAAGCTTTCATACCTCTAGTATAGGTGTTGGTTTATTCCTATTGCATGTGTTGGGTATTGATTCGATGAACAAAGATCCAGTGGTGAGTCTCTCTATCACATTAATTATAAGAGGCAGCGAAAACGGGACTTCAAGTGAATGTAGAGAAGACAGAGGTGATGAAGATACCCTACCAACAACAGCATCAACAACAACCACCAACCAGCACCAGTCACGCGAAGAAATCTAAAGAAAGTAGTCTCCATCACCTACCTAGGCAGGGCAGCATCATTTCAACTACAGGCGACACAGGCACAAACGTGGCTGTCAAAACCAAAATCGAAAAGACAAAAAGACAGTCCTTCATTAATCATAAATCTGGACACAAAGAACAAGATCCTGACTTTCAACACGAGTGTCAGTCAAGTCAGTGCTGCTACATGATTCAGAAACTTGGCGTCTCACGAAAAGCATTTTCAACAAACTACACACATTCATCAACACCTACCGCCTACCCTCACTCCTTACTGACACTGAAGATCAGATGGATGACCGGAATAATAATTATACGCAACAAGTAACTCACTGGGGCTGGCCTGACAAAGAACCAACCAAGAAGCTATCACCCAACAAATATGCAGAAGAAAGTGGAGATGGATTGTATTGAGCATACACTGAGAAGGCTGGTTGGGGACATCACGCGCCAAGCCGGGCCGGGCCGTCGAGAAGAATCCAAATTGGGAACGACGAGTTGGGTGTCGAAGGTGAGGATGACATGGAGGAGACCATGTGAAGAAGAAATGAAAGCTGAGAGGAGTCGTGGAGTCAGGTTCAACAGAACCCAGAGAACAAAGCGCATTGGAGACGTGTTGCTGAGACTCTATGTTTTACTCAGCACCCAAGGGAAAAATAATGCTAACAGTAATGAACGACGGAGTTATTTAGCTGTACCGTTACTGAGAAGTTTTATGGTTGCAAATTATAAATATCTGATAAAAATAGTTATTTGATCTTACAGACTATTTGTAATACATTTTTTGTAGTCTTAGGTTAAATAAACAAGACCAGTCATTCTATGATTAAATTAAATGCGAAAATTATATTACATATGAATAAATGACACCTAAATCCTTTAGGTGTATACAGACTAGTAGACTAAAACACTTAAACAGTTAAACGCAAACAATTATAAAAAAAGGGGAAGGAAATAATCCTCATTTTTATGTGACTGAATATTACCTTGTAGAGTTATAATGTGGAAAAATTACATTGTAAGTAATAACAAGTAGATTATGTGAATGAACCAGGGTGTTAGGGATTAAACCGAAATTTATAGGCATGTAAAAGCAAGCGTGAGATAAAAATTAAGGCCAGAAAATTTCATTTCTATAGTATAAAATGTTAACTAGTTAGAGAATTATGGCAATAGTATTTTTAAAACAAGACTAATATTATGTTGTTTTAAGGATCTTTGATTAACATTTTCCATCATTTGCCCTTTAAACATGGTTTACTTGACTGTGTGAATACAGTGAATCCTATGGATGAAGATTTCAGCTAGTTGTTAAAATTTGCAAATAAAATGAAAATGTTATACACACAAGTTCGTGACTCTTTTTTAAATGGTTTAAAGCCTAAGTTGTGTTGTTCATCGAAAGAAATCTAATAGTAGGTCACAATTTACTTATAGTTCATTTAATTCTTTGTTGAATATTCAACAAAGTGAAATTCTTTTCATACGAGACATTAGAAAAAGTCAGTTCCTTCTTACATGATGGATATTATTTTCTTTGTTATCATTTTGAAATACAACTTACCTTCGTATTGTTCAAATATTCATCTACTATGGCGTTTGTTCGTATCCTCATGCGTTATACATCTAGCCTTGATAACTTTGCTATTCCTTTAGATGGCATTTCAGAAAGATAATCTTCATTATAATAGTAGATATGCGTTGGATATCTAAAATCTATACGTTCATATAAGTAATACTCGGTTTTACAATAAGTAAACGATAACTACCAACAAATTTATGAAACTTTAATATAAATTTGATAGATTACATAATAGCTGGAAATAAAATAAATACATGTGATAAGATTATTTAGGAAATCAGTAAACACCTGGGGGCATTGGATAGCTATTTCCTTCTAGTGCTCATCCAATGCTCTCAGGTTTTCAGTGGTTCCCCAATTGATGTCATTCTATGATGTATACTAACTGGAACTCAATAAAACGTATGACAGGTGAGATGAAAGTCAAACATCTTGATACTATGCTGTTTTGAATAGCGTAAATAAGACTTAAATGTGTAGATAAATCTCATCTAACACTGCAGAGAATCCTTAACTTTCGTTTGTTCAAAAACCTTTATGAAAAGTATATTTTGTTTTTCTGAGTTATATATTATTATATGTAATCTATTCCAGTTCTTTCTATTAAATATCAGTTTATAACTACAGGAAAGAACGAATGGTATACTAAACTGCGGGTAAAAAGTAACTTATCCAACATGGTAAATAATCAGCGATACTTGACTCAAATGGAGTGAGTGATATTAGTATAAATGAAATACGACTAACAACTTTATCATTTATTAGACCATTATTGGCATCTGAAAGCTTTAGAGGTTCCTTTTCATTACATCCAACCTGTTCGGCCCTAACTAAGCGAAATGGCC